GAGAGCTGTACCAGGACTTTGTGACCTTATCTCGAAATTGAAAGTCTTCATGACTATGTTAAAAGTTCAGACATTCAAAAGTTGGATTATTTAGTAAAAACAAAATATTTTGTCTCAGACAAAAAGAGTCACAAAAACATTTTAATTGAAAAATAGGGGCGACTGGGGCAAGCTGTCACACAATGGCTATTTCTCAAAAAGTCGCATAAATGCTCGTTCTCTCTTTTTGTCACATTTATATTGAGGCAGCTGTGGTTGCCGGAATTTTACTGTAAAAAATACGGTAGCAACGTTTTAGGTTTTACGGTTTACAGTTAAATACCGTAATTTCATTAACTGATATAATGTTAATATACCAACCTATAGAAGTACTGAAATCTGTTTTGTACCTTTGTAATACACTGATAACCACCAAATGCAGGTGGTGATGAGAAAGTCACATGATGAACCAAAGCTCATCACAAGCAGCTTTTAAATAATAACATATATATCGAAGGTTTTAAATTGCATCATATGACCCCTTTAAAGCTGCTGTCGGTTAATTAAAATATGACGGATGAACTCGAGCTTCGATTGGACTCTTGTTCTCAACTATGAGAAAACTTTAAAGTCTTATGACATTGACGTCTCTGAGAGCTAGCGTAAATATCGTAAGGCTTCAGAAGACTTTTAATTGCCTCTTTGTCTGTCTTGTTTTTTTTTTATTTAATTAAAATTCTTTTTTTACAAACGTAGATATGAACACTTAGATTTTTTTGTAAGTTTCTTTTAAAATAACAGCCTAAGGGGTTTGGAATGACATGAGGTTGAGTAAATAAATGCAGTTTTTTTTTAAATGACTGAAACACAACAATATAGCTACACCGATTGTAGCTTCAAAACATGATAAAAACATGAGGTCATGCTAAGAAAAATAAACAAAGGCTTACATCCAAGAAATGACCTGAATGCCCCTGACTGAATCAAAACACATAATAAGCATTATTAGAGCACTTTGGGGCCCCAAAGTGAACAAAAATGTTAAAAGATGAGTGCATGATTTTATAATGTCTTAACTGCAGTGTACTGCTTTCACTCTGACTGGCTTTGTTTTAAAAAAAGACAAAATCAATTTCGTGAAATGAAAAAGGTCACTGGTGCCACAAAAGTCTTCTGAGTTATATCGCTTACACATTATTGTTCATATAATTATTCTGTCCAAGAGACACATGGTCCATGTTCATGCAATTAAGACTTTGATACAATAACAACAACTTCCTCTGTCGGCGAGACTGTAAATTGGCATCTATTACTCACAATGTAAAAAGAGTGAATGCGGTAACTACGCATGATTCCCGGACTTCAGACGACCTCTAATTTACTTGTCTAAGAATTTGCTGCACGTGTGCAATTACTATAAATTTGGATTAGAGATTGGGGATGGGGACAGGTTGTAAGTGGATGTGAAGTCCTGATACATACCCATTTGTAAGTCATTAACATTTTTTACCCTCTAATTTTGCTTTTGTATTCTGACGTCATGGCACCAGTGATTCAGGGCGACGCTATGATTCTGATGTTAACTGATTTATGAACTGAATGAAAATGAAATAAAATCAATTCAATATTACAAAAGAAATCACCAGAAATAAATAAACAAATAAATAATAAACTTGAAAATATGAAAAGAAAAGAAAAAAAAACATGCTACTCATACTTTAATTATACTAAATAAAACCCATCACACATTGAATATAGGCATCACAAATTCAATATCAAACGAAAACTATTGACCGCAGGTCAGACGGCCGACACAATTACAGCATACTTACTCTTTATTCCTGGCCTCAGGTCTGATATTTAATATAAGCATCCTAAATTGTTGCCTGTGTACCCAGGCTTTGTTTAAACGGGCATATGATCCGTAAAAATATAGGCTAGCCATTACGGAGCACATTCAAATATTTGTTTCTGTGGGTTTCTCCCTCATTGAAGCATAAATTGCTGCAAACAGCAGAGTTTGGAAAATGATTCCACGCCAAGCCGTTCCTAAATGAATAAATCAAGGACTAAATGCTGCCCTTAAGCAACTAAAGTCATTCATTCAGACAGTCATTCAAAACAGATCCTACATTCAATAAAAACCCAGAGCACACACACTGTAGACTGGCGCTTGCCCAGTGTCACGGCAGGCCTGCCAGCTGTTATTATGCTTTGACAGTTGTAAGTTACTTGATTTCTCATTGAACCCTTTATGACTGCAATATGGCCTTTACTTGAACGGCAAATGATCAAGCGCTGAGAAAAAGAGAGGACTAGGTAAGTAAATGACGTATGAAAGAGTTTTTTCTCGACCTGTAAAGGTCAGGAGGTTCTTGTGTTACAGCAATAAACTCCCTGTCATAGTGCTAAAACAAGAACACACTTTTTACGCAGTTTGAACATTTATAGAAGCAGAAAGTCAACAAAAAACCAGAGGCTGTCAACACTTCTCAATTTAAGGTGGTTTTACGGCCTCACTAAATCATAGATACTAAACAGTATGGGCACATTTATACACTTAGTTGCATTGTAAATTAAAACTAATGTATTTGGTTCATTTTAACTACTCTTTCAAAGCCACGTTTATCATATACGACTACTGTTTTTGGAGAAAAAAGTAGAAAAGTAGTAAGAATTTTTCTAAACATATAGATGTACAGAGAGAATATCTTGAATTAAGTTCATTTTTATTAGCCCATGCACCTTGTTTCTTTTATTAAGCATAAATCTAAGATATGAAAAGGGGACTGTTCTTAAAACAAGAAGAAAAAAAAGCATGGTCAAAACAACAATGCAAAAACATCGGATGAAGTTAATTGATATCAATCACATCAAGTTAATTGAAGAAACTATCATGGTCAAAACTAAACAAAACAAAACACAACACAAACATGTCTGCTAATACAGTGCCACATCAAGTGACTGAAGGCCTTAGTAAAGTGACCTGAGGGTGGCACTGTATACTCTCTTTTGAAAAACAGAAGTGTTTTCACAGTGAGAGATCTTTCTGAGCTGTGTGTAACATGCAAGTCCACAGTGCTGATAGTCAAATCAAGGATGAGCAAGTCATTCTTTTCATTAAGTGGCAAATGTCACAGTAGCAAAAGAAAGCAAGGAAATCAACTGCAACCAGCTGTAAACTCCACCATATAAGAAATGCAATGCAATGCAAGTTTGAAGCAATGCAATTTAGGAATAAACTTTCCTTTCTGTTATTTCATAGTTTTCATCACTTTACTATTATTGTAAATGTAGTAATAATACAGATTAATAGAAAGTAGTGATAATAAAGGATGAGGTATTTGTGCAGGATTCAGCAGAACATTTGTTTAGACAGTCTGCTGGGTCGGCTGTCAATCTGAGTTGAGTATTTTGACACCTCATTTAATCTGTAAGTGTGTGTGTGTGTGTGTGTGTGTGAGAGAGAGAGGTGTCTGTAACGAAAGGCATTCTCTGCTGGCGCCAGTATTCAGGAGATCCTACTGAGACACACACAAACACACACACACACACACACACTCCTCAAACAGGGCTTGACCCTCAACCACTTTACACGCTCACTCAAATGAACGCCCTTTCCCTTGACAACATCTGAGAGAGAGAGGTGTCTGTAACGAAAGGCATTCTCTGCTGGCGCCAGTATTCAGGAGATCCTACTGAGACACACACACACACACACACACACACACACACACACACAACAGGGCTTGACCCTCAACCACTTTACACGCTCACTCAAATGAACGCCCTTTCCCTTGACAACATCTGCTGTGAGCTGACTATGCTATTCCCTAATAATTACTTTTTAACACTTTATTGGGTTCAGCGCCTGCACGACATACAGTACAGTACAAGAAATTAAAATGTTAATTACACCATTGACTATAAGGAACATGGTGTGAAATCCTGTGTTCATAGGGTTTATGATATTCAGTGTCAGTTATATCCATCCATCCATCTATACACACACACAAGTTTATGTAGCTATATAAATGGGGACATTCCATAGGCATAATGGTTTTTATACTGTACAAACTGTATTTTCTATTGCCCTACACCAACCCTACCCCTAACCCTACCCTTTACAGGAAACATTTGTACAATTTTTGAATTAAAACTTTATTTTTATACTAGTTTTACAAATGAGGACGTCCCCAAAGAGAGGTTTTTGGAGATTTTGTCAGGTTTAGCTCACTTTTGGGTACAAATTTGTCCCCAAAATATGGTTAAGTAGGTACACACACACACACACATCCTATTTAATGAACTTATGATCTATAATAATAATAATATGATCCAACTGTATTTTCTATTGCCCTACACCAACCCTACCCCTAACCCTACCCTTTACAGGAAACATTTGTACAATTTTTGAATTAAAACTTTATTTTTATACTAGTTTTACAAATGAGGACGTCCCCAAAGAGAGGTTTTTGGAGATTTTGTCAGGTTTAGCTCACTTTTGGGTACAAATTTGTCCCCAAAATATGGTTAAGTAGGTACACACACACACACACATCCTATTTAATGAACTTATGATCTATAATAATAATAATATGATCCAATTGAAGTTTTATTCAATCATTTTTAATGAACTTATGATCTATAAATCGCCATCATTGCTATTATTATTCCTGCTATTAATATGATAAATTTCATAATCCAATTTAAATAACTTTTTATTCAGTCTTTAAATAACTTATGTATCATTTTCATCATTAATTATTTTATTAGACATTTAATGAAACTTTTTATTAATTACTTTATGATCTATAATAATCATTATTATTGCTATTATTATTATCACTATTGTTAAATAACACTAATACTACTATTAATAAATAATGTGTTCATGCCTTCCCGTGAATTTACAGCACCACTGGTACAGAATCAAAGCTCTGGATTTTTTTTTGGATCAGCAGTAGAAGTACATTTAACTGCAGTTATAGAAACCAATGTGCAATGACAGAACACCGCACTGGTGAATACTGAAACCTTTATTCTGTTATTATCCATTGAGGACGCATGAATGTTTGTCACACACAGAAATGACTAATACTGCAGGGTTTATGATTTCCCTTGCTGCACCTTACAAGAACTTCAATTCATCCTTCCAGCACCAGTCAAATAAATAAGATAAATACATAAATAATAAATACACATTAGATCTCTACATTTATAGCAATGGGAAAAAAATACTTTTCACAATAGATAAATATAAAGCACAATAAATGAACAAACCAGTAACAGAAGGGGAAAACATGTTTCAATCTGCTTTTGTAAGTTTATACATTCAGCTGGGACTCATTTGTTGAAGGAGTGATAAATGTACACAAAAACAATTCAAAGGTCACTCACCTTCATGAGGCGTTATCACATTCTTGAACTTTTTAAAGAATTTACTACATTAATAAACATTTAAATGGCTGCTGGTGCTTAGTGTCTAAATGTTTCAGCACACAAACAAACAAACACAAAAATGATTTTTCTATTACCTAAAAATAGTTTCCATTACTCCAGTTTACATTCAAATGACTTGGTTTTCAAATCTTACACTTTAAATTTAAATTCTAGGATATGGTGGGGTTTTGTGAACAAGTAATGCATGCAAATGTGTATAAAATGTACTTTTTGCACCAATCATTTCATCCTTACAAGCTTTTCTCATTTAGTAAAATGTACAAAAAAGGAAACAAAAACTCTAGTTTAATACTCACTTTTCTCTTTTAAATCAAAGACACGTTGCTGAGTTTTTGGAATGCTTTTTCTTGCCAATGCACTTGTTTCTAAGTTGCATTGCAGTTCATTAGAACACAATTCACAGCCAATGCACAGTTCATTACACTAAGATAAATGACTCCAAATGAAACCATAAGCGAGAACTAATGCCTAACAAACTTGGCAGAATTACAAGCAGCACGACTAAACCTACAATGCCACAGTGAGACGTGCCATCAAAAAAAATGGCATAGTGACATTTAAAATACATACAGATGAGCTTCAGTGTCTAGATTTCTTCTAAACGGTTATGGAGTATCGGGAGTAGATTTCAGATAGGCTGAAAGCATTTGTATTGCAGAAGGCGACAAAGTAGAAACCTAGAAACCTTCCCTTCAAAGACATTTGTGTGTCACAGTTAATCTAAGTAGTTATTCGCACCAAATTCCCATTTCAAACAAAATACACACAAAAACGCCTTCCGATTGACTTGGTCATCAACATTATGTGGATTCCATCTTCACAAACCCTCTAAAATGAAACCACAGCGACCCTTTGTCGCCCCTTATTTCTCGGAGTGGTTCACCTCGTCCTTCATGACTGGCAGCCAGGGAGGGGACAGCTCTGGGATGTTCTTCTTGGCCTGGTTGAGGTGGGTCATGGCGGTGTACAAGCTACCCCTGGAGTTCTGCTCAGGGTAGTACATCTCCAGAGCCGACGGGGTGCAGTGTCTGTGCTAGATTAGAAAGTAGACGTTTGCAAATAAAGGTTATATGGGAATACATTAACTAGAATGGAGAAGGTCGGGCAGGTTCCGTAATAAATCAAACATAAAAGGTGAATGTCACAGAGCTCTGCATTCCTGTTGATATAGCATTGGTAGAACAGCCAAATTGCTGATAACTCTCCCTGAAACAACAGTCCTGCCATTTCTGTTTATACACATGCATACATTTGGGGAAATCAGTATTGAAGTAGTGGACAATGATATTCTATGACTGTCTTTTGTATAGTAGTATGCAACTTTTTTTGTTTGTTTGTTAAAGTCTCATTATATTGCATGTTTAATTCAATGAGTAGCCAATTATCTCAGAAACAAAAATTTAAAAATTTGCATTTTTAATCGAGTTTCGGCTAGCGTAATCAAATTGAAAATATATTTATTTTTAAAAAATGCAGATAATATTAAATATTATTTTCATCCATCAATGTGCAATGCATATGCAATGTGCTCTGGTGCACAATTCCCATATGAACAAACAGCAGAATATCTGGGATTTCTATCATAAAGAAAATGTGCATACCCTGCAAAATATACATACTATATTCTGCCACAAAATTAAGATTACCATGGTAGTGTTATTCCTTATAGAGCATGTCAACCTCATCATCAAAACAAAACAAATACATTTACCATCTAATACATAATCTTATGCATGGAATAGACACTTTAAAATTTAAAGCAAAAAGTAGAAAGAAGATTTTTAATTAAAGGAACAATCTTAGTATATATTTATTTGGAAACTTTTATAAACACAAAATACATTTTAAAAATGCAAACTTACAGAACCTGTAGCTATATATCTGAAAATACCAAAATTCTAATTTCGTAAATGATCCAACAAACTCTCAATATAGCATTGACTACATGCTGTAAGCAGTAATAAACTATTTCTCCGAAATGAAAACTATGAAAAGTTTATTATATTTTCAATTAGCAAAACAGATACTTAGATGCTTAAAGTGAGAGTTCCTCATCCCACAAAAAAGAAATACAAAAAGGTGTTTTGTGACTGAAAGACGTCAATCAAGAGACGTCAACATGCCAAAGCTTCCATAAACCTCATTCCATCTTAACAAGAGGCAATTTTCCTGCTCTTCAAGTTAGCAAAGCTACATTAGTGTGGCATGCTAATTACAGCAGTGGTATCTGCATCAAAGAGGGTGAGGTGGAAGACCCTGCAGGCCTTAATCACAGTTTAGTCATGGTTACGACTAATTAAAGACATTCTCACACTCCACCAAAGCTAATGCACCACTTCAGATGATATCCGCAGACTGAAGATCTGCAGCTAAGCTTTGCTGATTTGCAAACAACTTAATTTTAAACAAATATCACACGAACAAAAGATGCAGTTAATAACACGTAATCGCTCTGCTCCAAAACCTAGTAAGCTGCCTTGCTGCCTATCAGAAATTGACTTTCATTTGTGACTAACTTGAAAAGTATTAGCAAGTACTTGTGTTAAATTGGGAAAAAGTGATAGTAAAGATATTTTTTAGAAAAGATTTCTATTTTGCATAAATGCTGCTCTTTTAAACTTTTTATTCATCAAATAATCCTAAAAAAAAATCACAAGTTCCAAAAAATTTTTTATAAATAAAAATAATAAGCAGCACAACTGTTTCCAACATTGATAATAAATCAGCATATTAGAATGATTTCTAAAGGATCATGTGACACTGAAGACTGGAGCAATGGCTGATAATTCAGCTTTGCATCATATGAATAAATAATATTTTTAAGTTATTTTAAATTGTAATAATATTTTGCAATATTACAGTTTTTTTTCTGTATTTTTGATCTTACCAATCCCAAACTTTTAATAATGATTCAGTGACACACTCATGAAGACAGCAGCTGTGTCCAAAATTGCATACTGTCTAGTAGGTACAACATTTGGTTTGAAACCTACTTAGTGACCGAGAATTACTTTATATATATATATAATATGAATATGGGTAGTATGAATGAATTTAGACATACTACGTCCGCCATTTGTCATGTGACCTACCAGCGACAGTTGTGTCGCTTCATTCACTGTCATTCATAACTCCTCTCCTGTGGCCTTATGGGACACCAACGTTTTTTTATCAGATGTGTACTTCAGAATCCAGCAAAAGTAGTAAGTCATCTGGTTACTCTTCACTAAATGTTTTATGAATACTGTGAATTCTGACAAACTACTTGTTTCACATACACAGGGAGTCACTTATTTTGTTCCTGAATGAATCAGCAATTTTGAACAAACAGGTTGAATGAATGATTCAATGACTCATGCATAAATCCAGTCACTTGTCACCACTTACTGGCATAGAAGTACACAAAATCCAAACCACTAATGCACTGGCTGTTGTATGAAGGATTCAGTATTATTCGTCTGGTAGCTATATACCACCATTCACAGATTCTTCCTTCACAGTGAAAGAAAGTAGGATACGTTTTGAGGTGAAAATCATGTTGAGATGTCAAACGGCTGGCAACCACAGGCAGGTTTTCACTAAAGCCACAAGACATTTGTTTAAAGAAGTCTGATCTGTCATCTATATTTCAGAACAAAAATTGTTTGTAAAGTAGACCACTAATGTTCTCAGTATGGTGTGTTTCTGATATGCTGGGTACCTGAAGAACGAAGCCCTCAGGGCAGCCGAGCTGATCGTACCACAGCGCTTTATACATGACCAACAGCAGCAGACACGCCAGGAACGCCAAGGTGATAGTAATCAACCCAGTCAGCTGGAAACCACAGACATTCGCACATGTATTTATGCCTTCCATTTTTTATTTATAGTCACATTTTCATATTACACATTTTAATATCACATTTTCATCCCTAACTAACAGAGAGACAAATGCAAGTTCTAAGTAGGCTGGGCAATCTGTCCTTGTCTTTTTTACCTTGAGCTTCTCTGACATCTCATCATAAAGGTTTATGTTTAGCTTCTTGATGCTCGGCACATACAGCTTCCTCTTCTTCTCCTTCAGCTGATACTCTGCTGTGGTTTTCACAATCACCTATAGAGTCACACAGAAAGAATGAACTATTAAAATAGTCCAAACAAAGAACAAGATGAGCAGAAACAACAAGAATGGGCTCCCTGCTCTCAAAGTTAGCATTAGAAACCCTAATGGAAAACCAGTTGAAGCAAGTAGCTGTGTTTTCAAATGTTGTAGCCTGTTTCTAACTGATCGACAAGACATTATGTTCCACAGAATGTCTCGACTACGTTAAGGTGTATTGTTGTTAGTCCAAGATGGTCTACCAGCTTTCTCAGAACTGACTAACACACAACAATGAGCCAAAATAGAGTCAACATTACATCCCGACCAAGTCTTGTGCACTCTGATTGAAGCCAAATTTACTCTTTTGAGTAGTTGAGTTCAATTTGTTGTGGTTTCATTCTACATTCACTCCCTAAATATCAGAGTAGTAGACTGTATGTATTAGAATACCAAACCCAGGTGTACATGTGGCGACATTTTGGCAAAATAATATTACATTGCTTTTTGCATGTTTCGTGACACTTCCAAAGTGAAATGTCCAGTGAGTGGAGCTAAACATACATTCAGTTTTATCTGAAATAGATCATCGTAAATCTGGCAACATTTTTTTTATTTGTCATTGTACAAAACACAGCGGTTCAGAAATTAAATATCCAGCGAGTGGCGCTACAAGAATAACACTCTATCATATTTAAAAAAGCATTTGCTGAAGCAACCGTGACATTTCAGCTTCGCACTGCAAGTGTACCAGGTGAGCTACCAAGCAAGTTTACCATGTCAGAAAAGCCATACATATGGACCTGATTATGTGCCATAAATGGCTAAATGTATTATCCCAGTTTACAAATCATGCTGTTTTGAAGTCATATTTTGCAAAGAGATGTGTGAAAATAGGTCTTTATTAATCAATAGCCTGCCCCTGTAATTATAATTTGTGTGAAATTAATAAAAGTTGTCATTTTACTGCCACTAATGGTCATTTCAGTTGGAAATGGCAGTGAATTGTATGTATAGGTACGTTTAGCAAAAATGTAGGTAGAGGCAGGTTTATTAAAGAGCCTAGATTGTAGGATACGCAGGATGTTATTTCAGCACATTAAATATACAGAGAGCGAGCTCCTACTACTATATCATGTCATCTTTAAGATGAGTCACTGCAAAGTTGAATTCAAACTCTGCTGTGCGTTTCCACCCGTTGCACTTGCCTCCTACAGAGCTGAGAATAGATACAAGCCATCTGTGAGAGTCCTGACATGAGTGTGTATGCGCTTGCAAGATCAGATGGTTTGCAAAGTCTTTCAGTGACAAACTGTATCATACTCAGTGACAACGAATCTTGATGGTGTCACATGAATTCTTTCTTTCATGCCAGGCTATCCGGTAGGATCTAACGGAGTGGTTTCCTCCGTGTCTTTGATGGTATCAGCGGTACTGGATGTCTGCCGCTCCACCTCCGGTCTCCTATGACATTCATTCCCTTAATGAAGGTCTATGCAGGGTAATGAATAACAGAGGTGCGCTGCTGTCTTTAATACGGCGCTATGTGTGGGTTCTGCTCTCTAATGCATGAATGGTAATTACCTTATCAGGGAAAGGCTGCTGTAACTGGCTGACCTCCAGTGGAGTGATTAGGGGAATGTTGTCAAAACCGTCCTCCACCGACGGCTGTCTCTCCATCTTGTCCACCAGGTTACTGCCTAGTTTCACCATATCTGAAGCAAACATTAAATATTAGATCTTATATTCGAAAAAAAAGGCAATAAAGACAAATGTACAGAAATATCCAATGTCTCAAAGTATCTAATTTTTCAGCAATTACGCATTATAACAGGAAGCTTTTGTGGTTTATTGTGATGCTGGTATCTATAAGCACATATAAGCAGTTTTTATGTTGAATAAAACACGTACTTGCTTGGATAGGTTTTTGGACCAGCTTTCCTTTTGGGCACTTTCATCTTATGTATTTTCTCAGTAAGGTGTGCCAAATGCGTTTTAAAAATGTAAAAGTACATAAGATGTCCATAAAATGTAATTTTTTAAATTTTATTTCATAAATCTTATTTATTATTATTATTATTATTTTTTTTTTTACAAAATATTATAAAATGTACATGTAATAATGTATTTGTTTATTAATTAGTTTGATGTTCATCTCAGACACACACACACACACACACACACAGTGCTGCTTGAAAGTTTGTGAACCCTTTAGCATTTTCTATATTTCTGCATAAATATGACCCAAAACATAATCAGATTCTCAAAAAAAAATAAATACAAAATAAATATATATATATATATTTATATATTTAATTAAATATTTATTTATTAGGGAAATTAAGAATTAGGATGCAGTAACTATTTGAGACACACACACACACACACACACACAGTGCTGCTTGAAAGTTTGTGAACCCTTTAGCATTTTCTATATTTCTGCATAAATATGACCCAAAACATAATCAGATTCTCAAAAATATTTATATATTTAATTAAATATTTATTTATTAGGGAAATTAAGAGTTAGGATGCAGTAACTATTTGACGTTACTGTATTTTGTCTTCCTTCTATATCATTCGTCACCTGAGAGGTTTTGCATCTCTGATAATACTGCATCGGTTGTTGGTTCATGTTTTCCATTTAGCACTAGTTAGTCAGTAAATATCTCTCCATTAGGTCTGTCTCTGAGGGGTCTGATGTTGGAGCGCTGTGATGCTGTTACTCAGATACTGTGAATCTCTCACCATGTCATTATGACTCAGTGTGCGTGTACACACACACACACTCGCGTCTGTGCATACTAATTCACCAACACACACACTGTCTCATGTCTTACTCATTAACCGACGGAGGAAAACATCTGATAGGTTACCGCTCTCTCTCATTATCTTTCTTCAACCTAACAGGTTATTAAAGAGCTCTCTACAGAATACAAAACACACAAACACAACAATCACTAGTGATAGATGGACACGTCAGCCCACATTAAGTAATTGTCGACACTGGCCAATAATAGCTTGACTGATTAGACATTTCCATAATTTCAGTGATTCATTTTAAATGATTTTGAGCGGATTTTGAGCAGTTATATATATTTTTGAGCATTTTTTATTTAAATTTGGTGCATATCGAGATTAATCAAGCCAAAACTGTTGATTTGGATATGAAAAGGCCGTCTGACTGAGATATTAAGACACCAGTCATGCAAAAAATATTTTTATGTGCTGAAATTGAAATAGAGTTTTTCCCATTGTACATTAAGCCGTAATGGCAATTTATATAAATGTATAATTTATCAGATTTATTAATATGAATAATTATAGATATAAACTTGATTTAGCTATCAGTATAGGTTGCTGAAAAAAAAAACCTCTGTTTATTTTCATTATTGTTAAAGACGCCAATTTTTATTTTCATTGAAAACTGTATTCAAATAAATAAATGCATGTTCCTACTCTGGCACAATCACTTAACGTGAAAGACACTGCAGGCCACGGAATAGGCCTGTTTTATTGGCTCTTCCACACGAGCACTTACTGGCTCTATCAAGGTTATCCGTGATGCCCAATGTACAGCAGCACATCAGGATGTCTGCGGTGTCTCTCAAATAAGCTTCGACCACAGACCAATACAGCACCACTGAACACTTGTCAAATCCTAAACAACGCCACAATTCATATCTAACATACAGACAGGACAGACGTACGCATTTAAGCGTTATTTGTAATTCATCACACGGCATTACGCGCTCATCATAATGGACCATTACGCAACAGCTGCGCGTCTACTGAGACATTATACGTCCAAATAATAATGGATGTTTTTGTTTTCTTTTGATGCACTAAAGGGTTTAAGCGAATTTTCGATTGGGAAAATAGAATAAACGTAATAAATTCTACGCTTCCTCCCGCAGTCTCCAATCTTAGCCGCTGCGCTGCCCAGAGGTTTGGAAACGGCAGAGGCGAAACGACGGACATCAGATAATACAGCTTACGATTAGTTTTTCGTCGGAAATGAATGAAAAAGAGATACTCACTGCTTTCCCTGCGGTTGTCTTGCCGATGCTGATGGAGAGCTACTGTTATATTATGGCGATGTGTGCGTAATTGACTGAAGCGCATCCGCTCCCGTCGCTGCTGTATGATGTCAGCTGTACGCAGCAGATAACTGGCTGATCAACCTGACAAATCCCATTTTATACATTCACATTTACTTTGCGCATATGTGTTGAGTGGGTTGTGTGAAGGAAATGGCATAACATTTTCAGATATGCTGCAAAAGAGTCTTTGGGGTTTAGACGGATAAAAGGGTGTTTTTAAGGTGTGGAATTTAAATTACAATATTAAATGTAACAATTTGTGTAAAATACGTTTGACTCGAAACGTAACATTTAGCAGTAGGAGTCATTTGGTATGATATACATATTTCATTTCATTTTATTTTATGTCTCATCTCTAGATGATCAAAATGTTCATTTAATTTTCTTAGTCTGTTTATTTAACGGGGGCTAGTTGTCACACACTTTTTTTTTTAACAGTGTGTTAGGCCTAGATGTGAGTCAAAGTTTTACAAAGACATAAAACAATTACACAGATTTAAATTTAGACAAGAATCAACTAATAATCCAGATATCTTTTAACTAAAATGTTGAAATGTATTCTCAGGACAGGATTTTTTTCCCCAGGTAAGGCAGGTTGTCATATCTTTCTTTCTTTCTTTCGCTTTCTCTTTCTCTCTCTCTCTCTCTCTCTCTCTCTCTCTCTCTCTCTCTCTCTCTCTCTCTCTCTCTC